AAATTTCATTATGTTCCTTAAAACTCTATGATAAGTAAATCTAAATAGTTTTTATATTTGCATTCTTTTAATAATGAATAACTCATTACTTGGTTAATGTATGGTACAGATGCTGTGCATGTTTGGAGATTCCCCTTCATTCAGATATTTAAAAGATTTTACTTTGTGGGTCCTTTGTATAAAATAGTTTTATTTTGCCAGTCCTTTGTATGAAATTAGTATGTATGCCAGTCCTTTGCATATATTTCCTTTTAAATTTTTGATATCTTCTATAATAAAAATTTTATTTGCTTTAAGAAATACTCTGAGATGAACTATCAGCTAATTGGAAGCTTTAGTGCAGCATCAAATGTCACTGGTATTATCACAGATGATAAAGCTGTGACAGTATTGCTTCATAAATATGGTGCGTTGTCATTTTGGGATTATGCTGCAGCAGGACCATATGTAAAAATTGATATGAATCCCATTGTTATGGGGTAAGTATAAAATTTTTCATTATAATGCACAGAATTTGGTGTCTTTAGTGTTACTCTAACATGCATATTATTTTTCCTAATGTCATAATTTAATCTGAAAAAGAGTGATTTTTCCGATAATTGTTCATACTGACAATTTTTTTTTTCTGATACAGCTGGTGATATTTTATGTATGCCTAAAATATTTGAAATGCATGACAACTGAAAGAATTCTTGTTTTTAGTGTTACTAAACTGGGTAGTTAATTTATTCATGTCATTTAAAATTCTTGTCAAAGAAACTACAATATTTTTTTTTCCCTAATGGCAGGCACTTGCCTGTGATGGCATCATCCACTCCTAAGGCCACATGTGGTGGTCTCTTTATTATGAAGGCTCCTAATAGGTGGGCCACCATTGCCTCCTATGAAGGGACAGACAATTACATCCATGCCTTCTCCGGGATTCGAACTCGGGCTTTTCAGTATCCCTTAACCCCTTCGAGCCGGGTAGCGAAAACGCGCGCTTATCGCTGAGGCCGGCAGTGTCTTACGCGAGCGTCTCTCCAGGGCCGGGGGCTTTTTTGCTATAGGGCCTAAATCCATGAAATTTCCGAAGTATAAATGCATTGTTTAATAATGCTCTATAGAGTATTTAAATGACTTATGCTTTATAAATATTTTTATATATATACTTTAATTACCTTATTTCTTGTTTAAAAGCATATTTTACATATTTTATTTTAATTACTCACCATTTTATGAATTTTAACATTATACATCTGAAAACTAGATATATTACTTAAAATTCTCTTTCGTATAAAAAATTTGAAAACAGGGATCTACACACAGTCCTATGTTACATCTTGCACTCGTAATAACTCATTTGCCGTTTTGGAGGATTTTTCCGGGAATGTGAACAAACGAAGCATCGTCGTCTCATTTTCTTATCAGTCTCTTCTGAACAAAGTTTTAGAAAATGTCTTTCAGTTAATCTTTCAGAATCAATATCTGAAATAGTTTGCATCATTTCTGCTATTTCATGCTCTGTTAAACTTTTCGACGCTTCGAATTGCAACGGTAAAACAAAGATTCACGTCTAACAAGATCTAATTATTTTCTAAAAACGAACTGCAAACCAAAATACCCAATGCTTTAGAGCAAATAAAACTTCTCTACTTACAGTAAACAAAACTACCACGTGTGAATAAAAAGTGCGATTTAAAGAGACGTCATAAATCACGCCATTCGGAAACATTTATTTCCCCGTTTGTTTATATAAGTAAAACACGTGTATGTGAGTATGCTCTCTTTCTCGTAGAAGGTCTAATTACATGTATCTGAAACCATATGGACATACTGACATCTTGTGGCAGAATTATAGTTTGAAAAACGTTCCAAAGTACTGGCACAAATACGTGACAGTCGGTAGAGACGGAAACATCCCTGGCAACGCCTGCTGTCGGCCGGTAGGGTCTGCGTTCGTTCTGCAGACGTGACGTCGGCGCGAAGGGGTTAATCAGTATACCATCTGGCCGGTGTTAAGAAACTAGAATATTAGTCTTTGAAATATGTGAAATGCTATTTCAAAGCTCTTTTAATGTTAGCCTCATGCAGTGAGCTTTAATTTTAGTGCAATGATCATGCACATATTTTTTTATTCAATACTTTTAAGTGTTAAGTTTTAAGTGTTTAAGTTAAATTCAATACTTACATGCATAAATATAATCACAATGATGAACACTAGTGTTCATCATTGTGATTATATTTATGCATGTATTACAAGTTGTCTGAAATATGCCTATACAGGGTGCGGCAGTGAAATGAGCAATTTTGAATCTTCCAACAGTGATACAAATTTATCCAAAGCCGTATAAAAGAAATACAACATGAATTTACAATGCTTTCAATTAATGAGGAATGTTTCTGAACAACTTGCACATATTGTAAAGGCACGTCACAGTACAAAATGTGCATCATTTGAAAATGACATCATGTAGATGGCCCCCATTTTTCTAGTCTTTACGGAACATATTCCAAGTCTTTACGGAAGTTAGCCATCACATTTTGCAGTACTGGCACTGGATTTCAATTAACTTCTTTCCCAATTTGATCCTTCAGTTCCTGGATGGTGTGTGGAAGGTCTCAGATTTCAAATGATCCCAAAGAGAGAGAAATCATGCACTGAAATGTCAGGGGATCTTGGGGGCCAGAAAATGTCCTCGTTTTTGGAGGTGAGATGCCAGGAAGGGTATTTTGTAGCATGTTAATGGAAATCCACGAGGTATGGCATGTGGTCCCCTCTCGTTGGAAGAATGTGTTTGCAGTTACAGGAAGATTGGCAAACTGTGGCACTGGGAAATGGTTCAGCATGTGAGCATAACGTTCTGTATTCACAGTAACAGCATTGCAATGATTGTCTTAAAAAAAAAGGCCTGATGATTCCAAATGATGATGCGCTGCACCACACTACCACTACTTTCTGACTGTGAAGTGGCTTTTTTTTATGAAGCATTCCAGGGTTTTCACGGGACCAGTATCTAAAGTTTTGCTTGTTAACAAAGCCTGACAGATAAACATTGGCCATGTCGCTCATGTTTAGATTGTCACAGAGGCCTGTGTTGTCCTTCATGATTTTCAGCAATTCCCAGCAAAAGCGTAGTCTCTTTGGGAGGTCGTCCACATTCAGTTTTTGCACTGTCTTCATTTTGTATGGGTGGTATTCCAGTTCTTTGTGCAATATTCATTGTACACTGCGATCTGATATGCCAAGCTGCATGGTATGCTTATATGCAGAATGTCTGGAACTTCGGTTGAATGCTTCTTCCGCTCTTGGTGTGCATTCTCTGGTGTGCACATGTGTTTTGCACTTCCACCCCTCTTTTTACCCATATCACTCATTTCTTCAAAGTTCTGTTCTCACAATTTGATAGCATGCATCGATTTGACTGATGCATGACATGTGAGATTGTAATGGGCACAAAATACACGTTTGCACTGCCACATAGTTGTTGTTGTTTTTGTAAAATGCCTTCACGGCAAAAGTACGTCGTTCACTGGTCCACAGCGCCATCTCTACTGAACACCAATATCGGAGTCAATGGCAAAAGTTTGTAGTCCAGATGGCACCACTCCTGTTTTCTGATTTCCTAACGTAACTTTCTATTTCCAGGGTTTCAAAATTGCCCGTTTTGCTGCCACACACTGTACAATATCTGAAAGGAGGTAGAGAACATTGATATGATTCATATTCACATTGACCCCAAATATTAGACCCTTAGTGTAATATGCCTTTTGTGGTTGCCATAGTGTGGTTACAGCATGGGGCAATTGTATAATTTATTTTTTGCAAATTGCATTTATCAGTTTTTGGAACTAATATCTATGTTATGTAAAATATTTTTCTGTTTGTACTACATTAATGTTTATAGCCTCGTATTAAAATTTCTTTGTATGTCCTTTTCAGGCAGCATGAAGGTCTGGCATACAAAGATGCTATTTTTTTATCAGTACACAAATTTGTTGGTGGACCAGATAGTCCTGGTTAGTATATTTTTATGTAACTAGCTACATAGTGTATAGTGTAAATTTGTTTAAGAAAGCGAAGTATCATAGCTAGGTTACTGTTAGATTTGGCGACACTTAACTTGCATAACAATCCTGGTCATTTATGTGTTAAATGAGCATTATAGTATTTCCTGCACTTTGTTTATTGAAGAACTTCATTAGCCTGCCTTCAATTTGTTTTAAGCAACAGCAAATTGAAGCTGTTAGAAATTTTCCAGATAATCAATAAATATTTCTGATAACTTACATTTAAAATGTTTGTTACTATTTCCCTGGTACTTGTATATTTATAATGACGTTTATTAGAAAGACAACTTTTCATGTGAAAGTTGTGAAAAATCTCCAAATGACTCTTCACAAGCAAAGTTTATCAGTCATTATGAGTGGGATGGCTAGGATTCCAAATTTATTATGATAAATTTTAATTGTTAAAGCTGCTTTGAAAAACTTCTCAAATCCAAATGCGAAAAGTTACTCATGTGGTTGCGTAATATGACAGGGTCTTATTATTATTTTTTTAAATTTCAAAATGATGCTTATATGCATTGTAAAGCAAATAATATAGGTGGTGCATATCACATGACACATTTTAGAAATAATATCTAAAACTGAAAATTTTGTACTATTCATATGGAATTATTTAATACTATAGCGAGGTTTTTCCCAAAATATTTCAAAAAGGAAGATATTTTCCATAGCCAGATTAATTAGTTCTGCACTTGGGAAAAAAAATTTCCTTTCTTTAGAAAATTATCAAAGGCAGGAATTAAAATTTATAGCTATCATCATGTGTACTAGTATAATGAGGGTTACTATTTATAATTCTGGCCCGATTATGAGAAAACAAATGTTTATGATTGAAATTGGTTTTATTCTTTTTCAAAATATTCTCCATGAAGATCAACACACTTTTGCATGCATTTGAACCAATTTTCAGAGCACTTTTTCCACTCTGATTGAGGTAACTCCACAACTTTCATATAGAATGCAACAACCGCTTCTTCGGGTGTCGCAAATCGCTGACCACCCACTTTATTTTTTATGTGGTGGAGTCATTGGGTGCCAAATCAAAGCTGCATGGGGTTACGACCCATCAAAGATCCCTTTGTTTGAGCTGATGTGTGAGATCTCTCATTGTCATGATGAAGAATGATTCGTCTCATCGTCTGCTTTTTTTGAATTTTTCTGATGACTTCTTTCAAACATGGCCATTTACCATTCAGAATTGACCATTCTTCATTACTCTAATGGCACTGTCACCACATGACCAGTAATGGCGAATAGGCAACCATGTGCTTTGATAGGCTTTTTCCACGAACAACGTTTGTTGGATTTGGTTCGCTTGGAAGACCCATACAATGGCTTGTTGTTTTATTTTTGGGCTCATATACATAGGTCCATGCTTCGTCACCTCTGTAGATGTTATACACAATCCATGATGCACTGTGAACATATTTTTCCAACATTTCCATGCACAAATCAACACAACCCTTTATTTGAGCGTTTGTCAGATTATACAGGATCCAACCCGAACAAATCTTTCTTATAGCCAGATGTTCATGTAATATCTTATTGATGCTTCTCATACTAATGCCCAAAGATGCCTTACTCTCATGTTATGTAACACGATAATCTTGCTTCATCATTTCATGCACAGCATCGATATTTTCCTGCACAAAAACCGATTTTGGATGACCTTCACTGAATTCATCCTGGAGCGAATGTTGACCATGATTGAATTCATTCTACCAGTTTTTTACACTGCTGTAGGATGGTGCTTTATAGCTGTATAAAGAATTAACTTCATTAAAGCATTCTTGTCTTGATAATCCACGTCGAATGTTATGAAAAGTAATTACGCAAAAATGTTAGGAGTCAATTCCATTTTTTGCCTGAGATGAATTTTTTAGTTTACTGTAAACAGCACAAATCATGCTAAAATGACAAAAGGTTCTGAGGAAGTTATGATTAAAAGTATCAGACTATCGTGCCTAACAGCACTTTCTGTTGCAAAGGCCAGAAATATAAGTAGCAACCTTCGTACAAAAAATAGCAATGCTAATACAGTTTTGAATGTAGATATCAAAACGCTGTTCATTTCTTTCCCCCCTCGTTCCAGTGGTGAGTACTATCCATTGTAGGCATTGGCCAACTAAAACCAGAAGCGGTGCTCATTTTATTATAGTATCACATATTAGGTGGTTGCCACCTATTACATAACCACAGACAATTTACATAAATTCCTTCTCTAAGATTCAAATCCAAGCCCTTTGATACGGCAGCCAAAGTCACCAACCACTTTCCCGTCTGGGTGGCCAAGCTAATTTTTTATATCGTAAGAATATCAGTGTAAAACATGTTTAAGATATCTGTTTGTATAAATGCAAAAATGTGTAATGATTTGTTCAATAAAATTCATTTCTTATGTAGCCCCTAAAATGAATCTTTTTTATCATTCTTTTTATTGAATGAAAGGGGTCAAATGACTTGCAGTATTTCCTAGGGTAATTCTCCATCATTTTCTTCTCCCTTTAAAGCTATTGGGTAAATTCCATCATCTGAAAGTAATAGGCTTGTGACTAATCTTTCAAGAGAAATTTATGTAGGCATTTGAACTACTTGTAAATATTTACATTATACTTATTTGCATATAAGTATAAACTGACGAGCCAAAAGATTTTGACCATCTCCACATTTTTCAATGAACTGGTCTGGATGACGTGGCCAAATAGCAGCTCAGATTACAGCCCAATAAAATGCAGGTCCACGTTTTGAAACACGACTCGGTAAACATTATTGGATATTGGACTGTGCAGCAGATGTCCCACTCGTGTGCCTCTTTTGATCAAGCATTATTGTTAACTATGCCTACAGTAGGCCCGGGAACATCAAGACAGGACCATTGATAAGTGGGAAAACAGTTGCCTGGTTAGATGAATCATAATTTCTCATTCATTATGTCAATGGTCATATGGTCATGTCAGAATATGCAGCCTTCCAGGTAAATACTTGCTCTCTCCCTTTACAGCAGGTCATACATAGGCTGGTGGTGGTTCTATTATGCTTTTGGGGAAGATTCTCATTGGCAGCTGTGAGACCCTTAGTTGTAGAAAGCTGCAGATTATCTGAACATAACTGTGGATCATTTAAATTATTACTTGACATCTGTCTTCCCAACTGGAAATGGAATCTTCCAGCAGGACAACACCCCATATTTTAAGGCTCATATAGTATTGGAGTAGTTCAAAAAACATAAGAATAAATTCCAATTAATGTCCTGGCCACCTAACTGACCGGATCTTAATCCGATAGCACATTTGGAATGTCATAGAGCAGCAGCTCAGAGCTCAAACACCACCATGTCGGAATATCTTGACTTTGTGTGACCACTGCTTTGGCATGTGGCGTATCCTGTCTCCAATCATCTACCAAGAACATGTGGCATCCATATCAAGGTGAGTTGCAGCTGTTTTGCAAGCCAAAGGTCGCACAGCACATTATTGAATAAGTGGTCATAATATTATGGCTCTTCAGTATATGTTTTTCCCTTCCATTTTTTTATTTTTACTTTAAATGGGGTATATTCTTGCAGATGTGTTTGAAAGAAGCATTACTAGATATGCATTATGATTTTTTTTTCACTCAGATGTTTGATCACCAGTCAAATGCAAAATCAATTCCTTATAGCCTTTAAAGCTGTATTGTCTGTTGTATATATGTAACAGATTGGTAATATTTGTTTCGGATTGTATAGGAATCTGTGAATTTCGGAAATTGAGCATATACAAAATACAATTTATGATTGAAAAGCCAAATGAATGGATAAAATTTTGTTTAAAATGATTTAAATCTGTTATTAATTATCAACTTGAATATCAAAAGCTTGCATTTAAATTGTAAGAGTCTGAGGGTGAAATGTATTTCAGATATAAAAGCCAGCATATTAAAACGTATGAAAGTAAAATATGTTACCTGATTACAAAACTCTGTCAACTATGAACTTGCCATACTTAAACAGTTATTTCAGCAGATGTTTAAAGAAACAGAAACTAAGTAAACTTTAGTTGGTTAGATAATCAACAGATACAAGTTATGGCTATAGTATATAAAAACTTAAATTGCATTTAATTTTTTATTTTGCATCGCTGCTTATTGATTTTCAAATAAAGCCTCGAATCATACCAATTAATGCACCCTTTTCTTGATGCCAAAATTATGTAACTTTGAAAATGCTGTGGCATAACTAATCCATTATTGGCATTAAAATCGGACTATTTGGAGACAGTGTCTAAAATATTCCAGTTGACTGTTGGATAGTCAGGCTCTTACTGTGAATTGTTCAATTTGTTAGAAAACTGAAATTGTAAGAAAATCTTTTAATGTTCTCTACCTAGGAAAGTTATGACTATGAAAGAAGATTCATCTGTGAACTACTTTAAATAACCTGTATTATGAGTTATGTAAAGAGAAATAATAGTTTTTATTAATTCTTAATTTAAAGCTAGTAGATAATTGATTATATCCAAATGTGCAAGAGCCATATGCATTTTCCATAGTGATACTACTGTTTATTTGCATGAAAGCTGTATTAAAAAAAAACCATGAAAATTCTCAGAGGTAATTTTTATGCCTAATAATCAAATCCTTCATGAAACTGTATGATTATAGGTATTATTTGCACAGCCACTGTAAACATTGCTGAAAGAAACAGTTAATGTTGAATCTTGAAAGCAAAAATTCTTTTATGTGCACTTTTTTGTGTGGTTTCTTTGTTGCTTGGGATATTTAGGCATAAAATGTTGCTATGCCTGGGATATTTATGCTAAAATGTTGCAATACTTTCTAGTTTCATGCCTTAGAGAAATACTGCATCCAAATTTCTCAAGCTGTAAGAAATTATCCTCCTTTGGATTTTGAGTATAATTACTAAGGATCATAAAATGAAGAGATTAACCAATTCATGAAGATGATAAAAATTTGAGCCATATTATCATGCAGAGATAAGACATTAATGGCCCATTTCATCCCTGTATTCAAACAGTAGTCACTGGAATGGTGATGCATCTCATCTCCCATATGGAGATGAGACGTTTCATTGATGGAGATGAGTGAAATTCAAATAATCTCAGCTTGCAAGGTTATGCAAACTTTGTTCAGTAACAGGTGTGATGTTTCGTTGATGAATTTATTCCAATAGAGATAATACAAATCCAGCATATTGTCAGATTTTGCGGGAGCTGCTGTGAAATCAAGAATAAATGCCATTACAATGGTCTGTCAGATTTCTGTTGCTCTACAACAATGCAAGGCCCCACTGTGATGCTCAAATACAAGCTATAGTCAGAACTTTTGGCTAGCAGGTAATTAGAGCACACCCTATAGCCAGACTTATCACCAGCAGTTTATCACATTTCCCTGCATATGAAAAGCTTGCATTCTAGTAGGCATTTCTAAACTGATGATCATTTGAAAATAACAGTTCAAACCATCTGCTTATCTTCTCAGATAGCAGGGTCTAAAGAAACTATTCTTATCCTTCAAACAGCAATAGAAATTTGTAAAGTATATAAAATCTGTGTGAGGGAGTAGTATCCAAAATGTTTAATAGTTCATTGTTCAAATATTGATAATTCATATAAAATGGTCCCTACTGTAAATACGTCCTCCATACTTGTTCAGTTAATGCTATGTGTACTTATGAAAATTGTGATTGAAATTAATATCTCTCCATTAGAATTAGTTGTTAATTAGTTGTTGGGTATCTAATGTTGTGGTAATTCAGCATAAGTTTGTAACTGGTAAAAATATTTATGATAGAAATATCATTATTTATTTTCCTTTACTTGCAAGTTTGATAATTCAGACTTTGCTATTCTAAATTGTTTTAGAACATCAATAACAAGCATTGTACTGCTTTTCTATATGTTCTATATCAATGTTCTCCATATCTCTATATCTTTTCTATATCAATGTTTGTTCACCGCAACAAACTTTTATAACTGGCTTGAATTTCAGTTTGAAAATTATGAAAGTATGTTTCAAGTGCTGTTTTTGGTTACATTATATTTTGATTTAGTCATTTTTATATCGTGAATGTGATTTTTTTCATATATCTGTAAAAATAGGACTAAGTGAATATATAGAGATAGATGAACTATTTTTTCAGTTGTTTGTGATAATTCGTGAACAGGAATATTAAAAAATTATAAATGATAATGTCTAGCTAATTTTTATTCTTATTTGATAATACTGAAGATATTTTCAGTTCATTACATATTTTGATTTCGACATTTGTGATAGTTCAAGATTAGAGATTATACAAGTAACCACCAACACCCAAGTGGAAAATCCCTGAACACTGATAGTTTAACCTAGGTTCAATTCCCAATGAATGAGCTCATTGCAAGGAAATTTTCACGGACTTTTCCATGTGTAACAAGAATACAAACTTTTTTTTTTTTTTTTTAAGGTTCCCCTAACATCCAACAAAAGCATCCATTCCCTTATAGCCCTCACCATAATGTAAGTAATCCAATCTCATGAAAGTAATTAAATAAGATATGGACACTATGAGGAAACATTAAAAATGTAATTTTGTATTCTCATTGCAAATTGATTGTCAATATTTAAGAATTTTCTCTTCTCTAGGTGTTTTGGTTGCAAAAAAGTTCTTATTTAAAAATCAAGTTCCTTGTGAGCCAGGGGGAGGCACTGTATTCTTTGTGAGTATCAAGTTTTTTCCCCTCAGTACCAAATTCTATTTAAATTACAGCTAGACTAGACATTTTGTGTTTTATGCATTTGTTCGTCTAATTTAGGAAGTTATGCAAGGCTTCTGAATGCCCATGTACATGCAGTTTTATTTTTATAATACTAATGTGTATTTTCTTATGTTGGAAAGACATAATTTGTAGAATATTTTTCTAACTGCAAATGTAAGGAACTGAGCTGATTTTTGTTTATTTTTCTTTTAAATTTTATATTTTATGCTAAATAATATTGTTTTTACTTTATTAATTAATATTAATTGTACTTAAAGAATAAGATTTGTGTGTCTATGACAATTGCTTAGATCCTCATCTTTAAATTAATCCCTGTGTGCCATGTTGCCATAATGTTTAAGAGGGCATATGTTGCAACTGTTTTAAGTAAAAGGATTTATCTGCGTGAGTAGCCTAATACTCAGATTTGCTGCAAGGGTTCTTATTCTGAAATCAAAGATGAGACTGTATCCTAGAAATGTTTAATGTTATAGAGGTTTTGAATGGTTGCAGATATTTTGAAATTAAAGTAACAGGTTGTTAAGTAAAGGCATGGATAGATTAACTAAATGGTTAATTTTCATGTTCATATTGTTGACTTACTGAAAAGCCCTGTGTCAAAAGTTGAATTTCTTTAGTAAATATCATAAAATATTTTTATATCAATCTCCTCCCTCCCTCCCAGTGAAATTATTTTCTGTTAATTTTTGCTGGAAATAGTAAGCATAAAGCAACTGAAAATTTAGATATTTGGTATTTGCCTGGATGAATGATTTTCATATGGAATAATTATGTATAGTTTGCTGTAGTGATAATCAGTTCTCTTCCTGCAGGATGTAGGTATTGGGAAATAGTAATATCAGTAATTAGTTGTCACAATATCTAGTGAATTATCAGTATCGTTTAAATGTCAAGAACTTCTTTATATGCAACATTCAGAATTTGAAAGTGCCCACATGATTAGAATGGCACAATCGGAAATATTGATACAACAAAATGCTGCATGTACAGTTTGTAATATAAGGATTTATGGTAAAGCCTGGAAGCAAAGGCAAATAAAAGATTTATTGCACTGTAGTAGATAGTTTGTAAGGAATTAAAAACTTTTAATATACTTTTATGATTTTTCCGCCTATCCATTTTTTACTTCAAAAGTCCTGAATTTTACTGGAGTTTTCAGTGATTCCAAGGTCACAAATTCTGCTTCCTCCTCCCAGTTTCAAGAGCATGCTGAAGAATGTCTCAAAGAGAGATTATGTTCTGTAAACAGCCTTTGAACTTAAAATGTTCTAACACGATTCCTATCAGGTCCTATATCTGCTCCAACTACCCAACACTATGCACTTAAATACGCATTGTCGATTGTTATCACTAGGCCTCCATCATAATATCTTCCCGATTTGATCTGAATATTGTTGTGTATGTAAAAGTTCAAAAAGGGCTTCTGTTTCAGTTTCATCGGTATTGATTAGTTCATGTCTTTTAGGATCAGAATATTTCATTCTGTTTACATAGTCTATGTTACAATCATTCTTACTGTATTTTCATCAAAAAGTAAATTCCAAGCTCCTTCGGGGCCAGCTATAGCACCTATTTTTGTAGCATTTTTCAAACCAGGTAATTGAAGAATAATATTGTGATTACATGTCCGAACAACCTTGTTGGGCTCTTGAATAGATCATTTGAATTAATTTTTTTCCAGTAAAAAAATCACTTGTAGAAGAAGAACATCGATCTTCATTTTTATCGGCATATATTTCTGAATTTGTATCATGGCTGTCAATAATTTCATCAGAGAACTTTAAATCAGACCAATTTTGAAAAATTTCTTCAACTTGGTCTTGGGTAAGATATATAGAATGGTTTCCTGCACACATTTGAAACCATTTCAAGAATATTTATAAAAAAGCGAAATATGTAACAACAACGAAAAGTGAACTCTATCACTGAAACTGAATCACATTTACCATGATCAGTCCCACAGATCTGGGAGGAAAAAATAAAAGAAGAAATAGAGCTGTTCAAATGACATGTGGTACGAGACCGTGGACAACTGGTTTAGGAAGGACAAGCCCATTAATTATTCTAAGGGGCGGGGCCTACCAGCAGCCGAGCGGTAAAGTCGTTGAACACTGTATTTCGGTTGAGGTTCTAATCACAAACAGGCTGGTGCATGACCTTTTTTGCTTTCCCCCATGTGTGACGTGTATACGAGCCAGTTTCCCTTAGAAAGCCCTCCACAAAGGCATCCCTCCCCTTAGGCAGATAACCCTCGAGGCTTTGCCATAATCACACATGCACTTTTTATTCTAAGGGGTGGAAACATTTAATGGGAAATGTCACATGGTCTGAAAGACCATCTACTGCAGTTAAAGGGTAAAGAAATCATATGTTTTGCTAAGAAGGGAATTTTTCCCTTGAATGATGTATCTAACATCATATAAAAGTAAAATATGTCATAAGAATATACAGGTAAAAATTATATCTAAAAATATGAAATAATGACTGATAAAAAGTGAGAAAGAGGACATTCAGATCAGTTTTCACGCTGGAAGGGGCTAGCTATCCATTTGCATTATTAAAGTTTTTCAAACCAAGTGTGTGCATATGTATTTTTGTGTAACCAATTTTAATTGAATCATTTGATAAATATTTTTACTATTTTAATGTAAATGTATGCTGAGAAATTTAAAAAAAAATTGAATGATTAATTACTAAATGTAAAAGACTTCTGGGAAATATGTAAAAGAATTGTAGTTATTATTCAGAAAAATATTCTTTGCGATAATGTATCTTATTGAAGACAATTGTGACAAAAAGAGGGGTGAAAGTACAATTTGATCTTTTGTGACTTGCAATTGTTTTCATGCATTTAATTTTTGTTAATGCTATTTGTCTTTAGTTAAAAATTTTTATTAAACTATGAGAAGTTATAAATTGCATAATTCTGTTCTTTATTTTAAAATTATTTGTTGTTTTTTTGCAATAAAGTATTTTAAGATCTTTTGTTTACAGGTAAGTCGCAATACTCGCAGATACTTAAAAGATATAGAAATGCGTGAAGAAGGAGGAACTCCATCTATTATAGGTGCTATAAGAGCTGGTATGGCTTTTCAACTGAAAGAAGCTGTTGGTGTTGAAACCATAGCTAAAAGAGAGCACGATATTTGCAGGCAAGCTTTGTATTCTTACGTAGAATAGTTTACTGATCATTTTATCTTACATTAAAATATTCTATTTTAAATCCCCCAAATGACAACAGTTTACAAATGGCTTGTTGCTTTTAAATGGAATGAAATAGAAAGCTTTAACATATTTCAACTTAATTAGCATAAAAAAGTATTAGTTAAGTAAATGAAATTTATTTAAAGCTGAAAATTAACTGTCTTATTTTATCTTCTTCAGTTCTCCAAAGTGTAACTTTAAGGATGTAAAAGTTGTGTTGCATTTAGTTTTCTTAATTAGACTAATTTCATTGCATTATGAATACAATCTGGAATAACTAATTGCTTAAGATTCATTTAAGGAGTTTTAGGAAATTATTTAACTTTTAAGTTTTCGTGTTCCCTGCACAAAACAGTATGCAAATTTTGTATTTTCGCAATTTAACTTTTCAAAGCATGCATTAAGGTCAACTTTTGTAAATGTGGATGTTTTTTGTAGGATAATCTTAACTGCTATGTTTTCTTCATGGGCTCAGATTAATCATTGTTTGATCTGATGTGCCTGAGATGTATCCTAAGCAATGTCAGCAGTTCTAGAGGAGAAGCTCTGAATTTTGCAAATATTCTTGCTTGTTAAACAGTTATCTGTATAAAAGCATTTTTCAGCTGTTACACAATTTTCAAAGGATACTTATTAATTTTCTTCACCCGTTCCATTCAAAGTGCATTACCAATGATAATAAATCACAGAGCCAAGCAACAATGGGTTACACAAATCACCAATAAACTACAATGTCAGAAGTACTTTAATAAGCCATCAGATCTACACCACAAAAATTGTAGATTATTTCTAGGATGGATGCTGATTTGTAAAAAACCTTATGAGTATCAGACATAACTCCAGTTTGCTTCATGTGAAATTTATTAAAATTTGGACGAATTAGTTCATTGAGATTCATTCCTTTTTCAACCAGGCATTAAGACGAGATGCCCCTTTCTGCTTTGCTGAAGCATCGAAAACGAATCTAATTCTTGTGGTATTTCTCTTTTATAACATGTTTGTCCAGAAGCTAGAATTTGGAAGCCTCCTGCCATTAAGTTACCCACTATATCAGCCCCTATTAAGATTTCAATAGGACCAGAATTTTGTGATAATAATTTTAATCATTAAGGCTAATGAAATTTTTGTTTAATTCATCTATCCATTTCCCAGTAATGACTGTTGGCACAGTACTGCAAATAATATCTTGACCAAGAGCTTTGAAATTGCAGAGATAGCTTCCATTAGTTTTACATATAAATACAGTGGAAATATGGTCTGTTATATCCGTAGAAGTTCTGCCAAATAGCCAATGATAAGAGATTGTTTTACTACCGTTTTCAAAATGCATTTTTTGCTGCTGTGCTCTGTGAAATATATCATTGTTGGGTAGCAGAATCTATTTTAGCCTGTGCTTGATGTTTACAACTATGCCGTCTTATAGTAACCAGTAGAGTTTGGAGTAGAACATTTGGGAACTTTAAAAATTCGGCCACTGTTTCATCTTTATGAGGAATTTGGCTGCTCTCTTTTTTTTTTGCAATAGTAGAGCTACTGTGATGTTTATTATCAGTGTGGCTATTTCAAGAAAAGTTTGTGATTTTTTCCCCACAAACAATACATAATGCTTTTTCTGGCATTTAGCTATCCTGTGACACTGTTGCAAAAGTTCCATTCTTTCAAGAAACTTGTTTTAAAAAGATTTTTTGTAAAGTTTACAATTATTTCATATTTTCAAATTTTATTGAATATGGTTTTAGTATTTTTTAAGATCATATTTTGTACTATAGAATAGATATGGATAATTTAAAGCTTTTGGGACTAAGAAGGTTTTCTAATATCTAACATAATTTGTCTGAATTCTGATGAAATTTTGCCATGCACTTATCAATAATTAAGTTAAAAAAAATATATAACCATGCTAAAAAGTCATAAATAAAAGAATGGTCAGTATTTCTTATGATGTTTTTAGAGAATTATTAGATTGTGTATTTTTCTAATTAATTTCTTTAATAAGTAAAAATTTAGATAGTTCCAGTTATCTTTGATTTTTAAAGATATAATTTAAAAATATTCACTTTAAAAATAAAATTATCAGCTAAGAATCATATGTGAACATTGTTAATTTTTATTAACAAAAACAATAAGTTAAAGAATCGGTAGAAAAATAAAGGAAGAGGGTATGCATTCAATGTGAATTGAAAATCTTTATAAAAAGCTGTGTACATAAATGCTGACTCAATTAAACTGGCTTTTATTGCACACATACTGTTCAGAGTAGACAAATCTTGTGATATTTCTTTGAATGTAGGGTTAGCTCATCTAGTTCGTTTCTCACACCAAACAAACATTAGAGCCACCTGTGGCCAAGCAGCCAAGACTGTTGAATACTGGTAGTTCAAGCCCAGGTGAATGGTTTGGCTTCATGGTTGGTTTTCGTGGTTTTCCCATGTGTGGGATGAATATTAACCAATTTCTCTTAGAAATTCTTCCATAAATGCATTCATCCTATTAGGTATATAACCCTCATGTGTTTTGCCTCAATTCTTTATATTCACCTTAAGCTAAAAATGGCATGCCAAACAAATTAATGAGATGGCCTCATAGATTAAAAGAAAGAAAAGGAAGGAGAAAAGTATCTCAAACTTTTTGTCTGTGAATTCAAGAAATTGCTGAAATCTGCATAATTCAAGCATCAGTTTTGACTGTAATAAATAATAGTAAAAACAGTTAGTTAGAAAATTAATTGCCACTTATCCTATCATGAGTTTTCTTCTAAATTTCCTTCTAAGATCAAAATTTATAAATATGATAATATTAATTTGAAAGGGACTGACAATGTGTAGTGAATGTAATTTTATAAAATTTCCATGTGAATTTTTTACGTTGTTATTGGAACTTTTATTTCACTTTGTTATTCTAAAATGCTTCAACTGAAGGTTTTCTGTTCAAATGTATTTTATTGTATAATGTTTCAGAATGGCCTTACAAAGATGGCAAAATACTCCAGGTCTTCATATCTTAGGCAATGTGACTGTAGCAAGATTGCCTATTTTTTCCTTTGTAATATTTCATCAGAAGTCAGGCTTGTACTTGCATCACAACTTCATTTGTGCTTTACTAAATGACATATTTGGAATTCAGACACGCAGTGGATGTGCATGTGCTGGTCCATATGCACTTGATCTTTTAGGAATAGAAGAACCTTTAGCTGAGCAGTTTGATGCACTTCTTGCAGAAAACAGGTAAATAAAATTGCATTAATTTTCTTTAAATGCATCATTCTACAAAATTAGTTTATTTGGCAGAAAGAAAAGGGAGTGCTGATATAATAAATTACATTTGTATATTCAGATTTTCCATCTTTAAGTTTCAAATGAAGTCAAAATATTCTTTTAAATTATAATTACTATTGTGGGCATTTTTAATTCTGAAAATTCCATTTTCTAGCTTATGTGTAGCAAAAAAAGGATTGTTCCTATTTTCCTTTTAGCTTCAGTAAACATGTAGGAAATAAACTGAAAGTAATTTGTGATCATTTTCATTTTTTGGTATTAATTAAGTTTACTTTAAAAAAAATGTTGGTATATGATCTTCCATTATATGACTACTGCATTACTATCATTAACTTTATAGGAATGTTTCTTCAAATTTTTTTTATTCAAATTTGCTTACGTCTCTTCGAATTCCTAAGTTTAGTTCTTAAATGCATTTAAAAATGGGTAAATTCCTAACATCTTGTTTTTATCCTGATTTAGTTAATTATTTATAATGTACATTGGAATTTACATATGTAAGATACATTAATTCAGCAGTTTTAATTTTTCCTATGGTGTTATCAATGAATGCTGCTTGGAGGAAAACTGTATTTCAAAGTTTATGACTGTAACGACAAAAAAATAATTATAAATCAGTACTGTTTGTGTTTCATGGAATAATTTATTGTGTGTTTTTGCATTTTTCATTAAATGCAAAATATAATTTTAGAAGTATTATTCTTTTATCCAGAAGTCAATCTATTATTTTCTTCAGTTTTTGTTTCTGGTTATAGTTGGAAGATTTCTGGAATAAAAACACCTTTTATGTTTGTCATCAGTTCTCCCGCCAACCAGGGGTGGCCAAACTTCATGTCAGATTCAACTAGATTTTCCAAAGTCCCTAAGTCCATATTTGCAACATTTTAAAAGTAGTGAAACAAGTTTCAGATGGAAAGAAACGTCTGATAATTTTGTAAAAAGAAATGAAATAGAGCAATTATTTTCTTTTGGACTTCGGGCAGTTTTACTTTAACATATTTCATGCACACATTTTTATTTGTGTAAGAGTCGCACCACTTGCCTGTGAAGAGTCACATAGGCTTGTGAGCTCCTCTGTGCCCACCACTGCTATGCACATAAGTAATGGAGGTAATGTTTTTGGTTAAAAAATTCAGTAGCACATTTTCAGTGAATAAGCATGAAAGAGTCCCCACAACACATTTTTACTATTTTTAGAATGATGTCTGTGTATATGTGTGATGATTTTTTCCCATTATAACTATTATATGAAACTTCTAAAAACTGCTATTTTCCATGTTTAGTCTTTCTACATTTATATAAAAAATTGATTAGATTTTGAATAAAATTGGGCAAACAGAAGTGATACTTTATTTGAAGCCCATAAACAACCTGTAATGTGCAGCTGGAAGTGGTATACTTGAAGGCCATAGCAGCTTTCTGTGAAAGACTGTATTAAAATATAATCCAAAACTTTTCAAATTTAGTATTTAAGACTTTTATATCAATGGAAACAATGTATTAGATTTTGGCTAAACTGGATAAACCAGGAATGATGCTTTACTTAAAGCTCTGTACAGATGTTTGTAAGAAAATATAATCCAAATGTTTTAAAATTTGGTATTTAAAACAAGTGTTTGATTGAGATCAATATAATAACCTTTATAAGCATTAAATGTGTTCTTGAAATTATGCTAAATGCAATGAAAATGGGCTCATTATGAAGACAAGTTCTCACTATGAGACAATTAAATCTATTAGCCTCAATCCTCAATTTTGTATCCATTTCACGTTAATTTTGAATCACTTTCCAAGAAATAATGCCTTTTCTGTGCCATCAAATGTTATTGCTATATGTTATTTTCAAATAGAATAGTAAATCTTAAAAAAAAAAAAGTAACTTAACGCTGTATTGGGAATTCTAAAGATATGCTATTTTTAGTGTTGTGATTTTGTTTTTGAATTTCATGCGGCATAAATGTAAAGAAAGTAATGTTTAATGAATAAGGCTAATATGACAAACAAAACAGTTGGTCATCTTGTTAAGAAAACTAAACATTGATATCACGAATTGGGGAAAAACTGAAAAAGATATGCCAACACTTAACACTTTATCAGAAATTCTAAAGACATGCTGTTTTTAAAATGTTTGCCATTATTAAGTCAAAAATTAATAAAGGCAATAATACCAACATTTATTAAGTTTTATTTGTGAATCCAAAGCACCGTATGACCAAAGTTTATGCTATGATTAGTGCAGCATTATCAAATCAAAAACATGTGAATGGATGTGAACATGAGCATGTATAGTTATCATTATTCATTTTATGGGAGAACAGAATAATAAAAAATGAGTAATGTTTATCATTAACATTCAGCCATAAAGTTTATGAGTAAATTAGATTTATGTACAAATGATGAACTGGAAGTGCTAGTTTAGGTAATGCTCATTGACATTTCATAATTTCATGTTAAGATATGGAATTGGCAGGAGGTCATATGTTGGGTCACATCAGATATTTTTATCTTTTTTCAAATAGGATATAACAAACAAACTATTCATTCCTTTGAAGTATGTTACAGCAGTATTCAGTTATACATCAATCGTATAATTTTAATCTTAGAATGAAATTGCCATAAATAGATATGTAAGATGGTTTCAAATCAGCTAGGGACTACTAGTACAGTATTTTAAAGTGTTGTCATTATTTAACTGCTTTAGAATAGGCTAATGAGGTATAAAGTTAAATACTACAAATAGGCTAATATTCTGGAATTTGAAATCTGTGTGTTGTCTTTTCTGTGTTTATTTAGTATAAACAAAACAATATTTAATATTTTATATTAGAATTTGCTGCTGGTAATATATATAAAAAAATACCATCATGTTGTATTACAGGTTACATTTCCTTCCATTGCTGTGTGATGAGCTAGCTATAACAATCATTTGCAAATCTTGTATATTCATTTTCCATTAGGGACACAAACAGTAAGCATTTTATATGTGGATTAAACTCTTATGCTGTGAGTAAATATGGTACAAAGTCCGAAATCCAGACATCCAGTATCTCTATCTACACTGGTGCGCAAAAATTAAGGACGAGACGGTTTTTTCAATATAACTTTGTACAAAAGCTTTCCAAATCAACACGTTTAATATCGTAAGATCCCCAATACGTAAGGACATGAGTAATGTAAGCACACTTACTAAAGAGAAATCAGAGGGATAAAAAGAAGCTTTTATTGAAAAAGTAGCATGGAGCACAATGCGACTGAAGGCCGAAACATCCCTGTATGGGTGTCCAGCAAGAAACATCCGGTCTTTAATAGAGGATATGATCTCCCCTGACTGCTAGGCAGGTTTCACAGCGTCTGCCCATGCTGAGAATGAGGGTGTCAATGAGTTGTTGAGGCATTGCTGCCCATTCGTCTTACAGCGCCAATCGAAGCTCCGGAATCGTTACTGGTGGTAAGGTATGAGCTGCCAAGTGTCTGCCTAGAAAATCCCATACATGCTCGATGGGATTGAGATCCGGAGATCGTGCCAGCCAATCCATACGTTCAATATTCTCACTCTCTAAGAGCTGTTTGGCAGCCACTGTGCGATGACATGATGCATTGTCGTCCATGAAAAGGAACTGCGGACCCATAGCGCCTCTAAAAAGACGCACATATGGAAGAAGAATCTCGTTACAATAACGGGTCCCGTTGACTGAACCTGCGTCGAAGATGTGAAGGTCAGTACGACTACCAAGCATGATGCCTCCCCAAACGAGAACACCGCCACCTCCATACCTGTCCCTTTCAATGATATTCGAGGGATGATTGCAGCTTCCCCGCTCTCTCCAGATGAGTACGCGATGAGAATCGCTACTCAGACTGAATCTGCTCTCATCTCTAAAGAGTACTCGTCCCATTCATTGTCTCTCCAATTCCTTTGTTCCCGGTACCACAGAGAACGCGTTTTCCGATGGGCAGGCGTTAGAGGTACACACCGTACAGGGCGTCGTGCAAACAGACCACCACCGTGCAGTCTTCTAGCCACGGTAAAATGCGATATCGGTCGTCCAGTCGCCTGTGTCTAGCGATTTCTCCCGCTGTCTTTTGGCCTGTAAGGCAATATACCGGTCATCTGCGGGTGTGGTTCCTCGTGGGCGACCACTACTAAACCCCCAGATAGCTGTTCCTGTAGTTTAAAAAGTCGTGAAACGATGCTGTGAGCAATTCCGAACTCTGCAGCCACACTTGTCACACTGTGGCCTTCCTCCAACTTCCCAATGATTCGACCTCGGGTAAAAGCATCCAGATGTCGTCTAACAGATTGATTATTCGCCATTTCTCGCTGAGGCAGCAACTCAATGTGATTTTAACTGCTATACGGCGTGCAATCTCTTTGCCAGAAATACTGATCTTACACAGACAACATGCTTTATACTACTCAGACACTCTCCCATTACGTCTACCTGCATATCTGCGCATGTGCTACCGTACATCACCTTACTTAATCTCCTGATTGGTCTTTCTGTCCGCTCTGCCTCTTCGTTCAGCTGATATGCTAATTTTTCGACTTTGTCCTTAATTTTTGCACACCAGTGTATGTACTACCAGCCCAAACAAAAATTAATAAATAAATAAAAAATTCTTCCCTTTACAAAACCTAGGACTGAAGACTATAATTCTCAACAAAAACATGCTGTAAATTCGATTATTCTCCTGGTTGAGATTCCTGTATGTCGCTTCAAACACCTGCTGGCTAGGTAGTTGTATCCTAGCCTACTACACTGAATGACATTGATGTTGGTCCGGATTATGCTTTGAGCCCTTGAGTGGTTGTTGGGGGAGGCATGATTGGCGCCATGTATTTTGCCACCCGGTGCAATTTGTAGGTCCTATGTTCTGCTGGCTAGTACTTCCTAATTTCTAAAAATTTTGCTACTCCCAAATTCTGTTGCCCAGTGCCTCTCTGAAGTTCTTAAAATATCCCTAATTTTTGCTGTTTGGTGCTCCTCTAAATTCAAAAATTTTTGCTGCCTAGTGCAGCTGCATCGGTTCTAGTACTGAAACAGTTGAGATGTTAGCATTCTTCTGCCTGCCTCAAACAAGAAGCAAAGCCCAATGTTGTCATGTCTACATATTACCTCACTAGATTTAAACTGGTGATCTAAAAATCATAATCGCTAAAGTCCCGACTATTCTGGATCTTGGACTTTGTGCTGTGTCTCTGCTGCTGAAAGGTCTGCTAATACTCTATTGCAGTAGATTACTCTTAAGCTAGGACTATGAAACTAAAAAGATCTATAAAATGAAAAGCATTTTCCAGTTCACTGAAGGTGTAATATTTTTTATATACGTAATTCAACTTCAGTGCTGTAACCAAAAGTGTGATACTATGATCCACATAGCCGATAATTTTGACAGAAGTGTGGAATTAATGGCTGTATCTCAAAGTGTTCAGATTGTGAAGATTTGTTGAATTTTTAATGTTGAATATAATAGCTGTGCATTAATACCTAATCGGTATTCGTTTTGTTTCCATTCTTTTAGCTCATTAGATAGAACACACCTTCGTAGACAAAAGGAATACTCTGAAAGAGAAGTGTTACGTCCTGGGTTTGTTCGTGTAACTCTTCCATTTTTTATGTCTGATTCAGATGTGCATTTTGTGTTGGAAGCTATAGCAAAAGTTGCTGAACATGGTTGGAAAATTCTTCCTCAGTATTCTTTTAATCCTGAAACTGGAGAATGGAAGAACAAGACAGCTGCACTGGTGAGGCTTTATGTACATTGAAAATAAACAAAAATATATGACCATGTTAAGATAGCTAAATATTGTTATGAATTTTGTACATAGATAGATGATTTTAGTGCTATTATATGTGAAATTGTTGTATTTTTCTGTGTAATATAACATAAGAAAAATCTAAGAGATGAGCTAAGCCAGAAAAGTAAGAATACAGGGGTGCATTTGACATTCAGTGAATGAGTATCTTGGTAATTTTGCAAGATATTTCCAAGCGGGCAGCAGTTTTGGTGACCTATTTTGTGGCCGAATTACCAAAAGTCAGCAAACTTAGTGACATTCTGGTCCAGTCCCTGTATTACTTTAATAGGTATTCTTATTGAATAAATGTAATTGACTACTATGTTAGCTGTAACTGTAATTCGACCCTCGTATTTCCTTCCAGTAATTTCGAGAAGCAGAAAGTACTAGAAATATCTCAGCAGCCAGGGGGGAAAACTATATAAAGCAGGAGAGAGAGCATCTACTCTTAGTTAGTTGTTGTTGTTATTGTTGGGAGTTGTTAGTTCAGCATGAGGTCAGATTAACTTTCTCTTTAGATGTGTATTGCAGATATCCAATCCAATCTCTTTAGATTGGATTGGAATTAGGATCGTTAACTAGCAGGACTTAGAAGAGAAGGGCTAGCTCATAGAGCTTTTCCCCCTGAAGCAGAAAGTGAGAAGTGCTGACGTAGCCATGATGACACAATATAATTCACAGCTTGGAAATTAGCGTTTTGGAACCAGCGTTTAAAATGAGCTGTGTTTGAAAGATAGCTATAATTTGGAAGAGGCAATGTTACTGCTTTATGCATTTTAGACTGAACCATTAAAAAATTTAATAATGCTTACTCAATTTTAAAATAATAGATAAAATGTGCTACTCTTTTAACATAAAGTTCCGTGTTTTTTTTTAAATTTTTATTTGCAGGTTTTTTTTTATTTAATGCATGTTTATTTCTAATCATTTCTTTATTTGCATGCTAACTGAGAGAATTTTTATACTGCTTCTAAGATAACTATAATAGCAGCTATTTAAATTTATTCAAAAAAACAACTTTACATTGACGTAGGTTTAAACATATATGACATATATGGCAACATTTCTGCTAATCTACGTTTGATTTTTTGCCTAATTGTAAATTTACATTGTTATAATTCTCTTCTGATTCAATACAATAGATATTTTTTAAATAATTTTGTAATTTATACTTATATCTATATTACAATTAAATAAATGTATATAAGATTGTTACCTTGATTTTGACAAATAGCTTTATTCAGAGTACCTAAAACAGTTACTTAATTTTTCAAAAGTGTGAGTAAAGGAAGCAGGTCTTTTTATGCCAATTACTTTGATGTTTTATATTATTATATTTTATCTAGAACGCTAATCGTTCTAATTTAATCTATCTAGCACAAAATCTAATCAATAATTAGTTACAAAGGATACAATAAGAAAAACTTTACAAGTACGTAACAAAAATTAGTTTTTTTAAATACTTGTTTATTCTTGTTGGTGCTATAAGTACTTAACAAACTAGTTTTGTTAAATACTTGTTATTCTTGTTGGTGCTATTTTGGTACTATTCGTAATACCGAAGATATTATCGATTAACGATTAACTCATAGAAGTCAGATGCTTTTCTGATTTCCGTGTGAGGTGAGAGTATACCTTTTGCAGTACTTTTTGAAAATAATGTTTTATCTGGAGCGACTTTTTGTCTCTCGTTTCCCTTGACCATTAAATAATTTGGTTTTAGTTTGTGACACAATTTGATTTCTTCTCAATCTCTATTTAAAAACCTCTTTAATAATATCAAAATTTAAAACAGTTACATCTTCTAAAACAAATCCTCTATCTAAAACGCGGTTTCTCAGTAATTTGAGGCAGAGAGCAAAATGAGACCTCTGATTAAAACAAACTGCACATTTTGAAAAGAACCAACTTAGTCCAGTTTAGAGTCATAGCAGAGTTTTCAATCTATATGCATTTCGTCGAAACTGAGAACGCATATTTTTTCTACAGAATACAAATATTCGCCTCTTTCCTTCTTTAGAGTAAGAACATTACTTTGAATTCTTGGACTACACTAAAATTTAGAAAACACTAAAAAATAAAATAAACACCATTTCTTTAATTTGATAATACTAGGTAAAGATATTCCAGTTTTTTTCGTAATTTTTTTTCTTTCCAAAAATCATAGCTTTAAGATGACAGAGCTCTTATGACAATGCAACGTGAAATATTTTCACTAGTCCACCTGATTTTTTTCTTCTTTTTCAGTAATGCATTAATTCTGCGTCTTTATAAAAATAGGCTTTAGACATTTTTCCAAATTCTCTGATTTGTGTTCCCACCCCCAAATTTTGCTATTTGAGATTTTAATTTCTGATGCCAATTTCTGTCTAGATGTCGTCCACCTTCTTTGTTGCTGAACAAACATTCTAAAATTTTTCTTTTCTCTATTTTTCAATACTTTAATACAATTTTCTAAGGATATTATTTTGTTCTTCAAATTATCAATGCATTCTTGTTTATCCTTAAACATTCAGGATGATCTACATTTTCATTTGTGAGTTTTATTTCAAAATCATTAAAATTTGATTTATTATTGTTATCATGAATTTCGATTTATTATTGTCATCATAATTTACTTCCGGCACAGCATTCCATTTCAACAGTTTCTTTTTGTGGCTATCCAAACAAGCGATTTTTCATATCTTCATAAACACTGTATAGAAAATGTTCGCTGCAGATTTAACAGATATATATATTATTGAAATTAATTTGGGACATGTAACATCTAGAAAATCGTTTCGCATCTCAATGAAACTACTGTTTTAAGCGCGTGAAATCAGGACAGGTGGCATCACAGTGACGTCAGATTATTGCCTGTTACGTCCCCCCCCCCATTAGGCTCGCGTCGGCGAGGAGTCGAACAAAGAAATGAGCTAGCCCTTCTATTTATCCCTGGTTAACTAGAACAGAAAGATTTTTTTGAATGTGAAATGCCTCTAGAAAATCCAGTTCTCCAATGGAAGATGTTTCTTGAATAATTTTGGCAGCAGAAAAATTGAAAGTATGATTTTCGGACCAACAATGTTGGGCAACAGGAGACTTTCTGTGTTTCCTTTTTTGTAACATATGCCTCATGTTCCTTGATGCGAAATTTTAAGGCTCTCTTAGTTTGGCAAATGTAAATTAAACCAACACTGGCAAGGAATCCTATAAATACCTAAGGAATTCATATCCGGAATGGGGTCCTTGAGTATGGAACTCGGAATTTTATTGATGGGAGAATAAATGACCTGAAAGTTAAATTTCTGCAAAATATGTGCAACTTTGTAGCTAATTGATGGAAAGAAGGGAATGTCAACAGAATTTTTATAATCTCCTAAAATAAGAGTGTGCCTTTTAGTGTGTTGAGATGAGAATTTTTTAAAACTGCTTTGATTAATAATGTTGGGTGAAAAGCCCCTGTCAATAGCTATTGCTTTTAAATAATTTAAGTTCTTCATCAAGGGATAAGTTTTGGAGGAGCAAACTTGAAGAGCACGGAAAACATAGGGAAATAAAAATGAAGGCTAACTTTTGTTTAGTCGGATGACAATGATATAAAGTGTGGTGGCAGGCAAACCGGTGAAGGTTTACGGTAAACTGTAGTACTGAAGTTGGATGTGTTACGTGTGACCAGAATGTCGAGAAACGGAAGAGAATTGCAAGTCTCAAGTTTAAAAGTGAACTGAATAGCAGAATCAATAGAATTCATTGTTGAAAGAACTTTATTTAAATCATCTTTATTACCTTCAAACAGGGTAAAAGTATTGTCTACGTAGCGAAACCATACCGGGAAGTTTAAAGTTTCAAACAATTTTGATTCATAATAATGCATGTAGTTATCAGCTAAGATTGGACAGGGGCTTCCCATGGCTAATCCCTCAGTTTGCTTCTAATATTTATTTTGGAAAACAAAATGTGTTTGTTTCAAACAGAGTTGGGTGAGAGAAATTAGCTCATCAATTTCAATGCAAGAGAAATGAAATCGCGAAGTCTGGTTTCTTGACATCTTAATGCACTCTCCACTGGAAGATTGGTGAATAATGATTCTACATCAAAAGAAACTATGAGTAAATTTCTAGGAGAAATGTTTTTAACCTTTTTTACAAACTCTATTGAATTTTTTATGGTGTAAATGTTATTGTCTAATAGAGTTGAAAATCTAGAAACTAAATATTTAGCTAATGGATATGAGGCAGTACCTAAATTTGATACAATAGGGTGGAAAGGAATACCACTTTTATTAAGGTACTATAGGTACTTTTATTTAGGTTGCCCATATAATGCAGGGGCAAATTTGTTAAACAGTTAAATATATTAAAAGTATAAATTATTCAGAATTAATCTTGGTTTGGAAGTGAAATTGATTGATTTAGAGTGAAGTTGAACTATATAAATACTTTTCATCAATGCAAATGGGTAATTGGAAAATTTTGAGAAATTATCTTAATTTTATTCCATTTACAAAGGCTATGTTTGATTTTTAAACAGAAATTTATTTTTCATATTTCATTTTCTACCTTTTAACTGTCATGCCCAAGCACTGGTATTCCAAAATGTCACGCCCAAATATTACTCAAGCTTTTTTTTTTTTTTTTTTGAGTGCATTGTACTGTTATACCTGAATTTATATAATGAGAAGTTTATTTCGGCTTCAGTTCAACATATGGCAGCATTTTAGGATAGAGGTTAAAGTTCAAAGTGCGCGGCATTTTTTTTGATTTTTTGACTGCAAGGCAAACATTTCATTTTTTGAAATAAAAAAAAAAAATGACAATTTATGCACCTAAACCATCAAAATAACTAAACAGTTAAAAGATTAAAATAGAGGGGAAGGGCCTGCACAGAAATGAAAGCTCAAAAATTTTTTTCAAGTGGCTTCCCCTACCATCACCACCACCACTGAAAATACCAAAAGTACTTAATACTCTACTGCAATTTACTTCTTGTCCCAAATCAAGTGATAGCTATCTTAACTAGAGTTGATGTCCCAAATCAAGTGATAGCAATCTTAACTAGAGTTGATCACCTATGAATTTGTTTTCTTGCAATTAGTTCCAGGTAAAATATTGTACGAGGGCCATCCAGGAAGTAGATTACGTTTCCGTCTGTGTCCGCTAGGGGCGGGGCTAGCGCGGCCATCTTGGGGTCAGAGCGTTGCGCAGCTCAGTCTGCATCTAGCCGTGCTAGTGAGAGGTTCGTGCTGTGCTCCGTTCAGATACTGTGACGGTTTGAAATGTCTGCGTTAATTGAAAATCCCGCGAGCTGCGAGGTGCGCTCAGTAATAAGGTTTCTGACTGCAAAAAACTGTAAACCGATAGAAATCTATCGGCAGCTTCGTGAAGTGTATGGGGACAACATTATCACTGAAGGTGGAGTGCGTCAGTGGGTCATAAGATTTCAAAATGGCCGAACCAATGTTCACGACGAAGATCGAAGTGGGAGACCCAGCATAGTGACCGCCGAACTTCTCGAAAAAGTCGATGCTAAAGTCCGTGAAAATCGAAATTTCACAATAACGGAACTTTCTTTGAGTTTTTCCACAAATTTCGCGAAGTTTTGTTGCACGAAATCATCAGCGAAAAGCTTGGTTACCACAAGTTTTGTGCAAGATGGAAGGCAAGAAGAGGTAACGAAGTGGTTGAAGGCGCAGGCGGGCCGAATTTTTCGACGAAGGAATTTCCAAGCTCGTACATCGCTACGATAAATGCCTTAATTTGTATGGTGACTATGTAGAAAAGTAGTATTTGAGTGTGGCTTTCATCTGTATATAATAAAATTTGTTTCCTATACTTTGTTTATTTTTTTATTCCAAAACGTAATCTACTTTCTGGATAGCCCTCGTAGAAATAAGTTAACTTGCTGAAAGTAAGACTTCTTCCTCATGCTGAAATTTGAGTCTTCAAGATATACAGATGGCAGGACGCCAGACTGTTTAGTTAGTAAAACATGTATTTAAATAATTTTAAATCTTACAAAATAATAATATTGCATTTTTGGTTCTAGGTAGATTGCATATTTTTCATCATAAATTTATGGTAGTTTAAATTTAGATGCTTACTTGCCATTATTTTAATATTTGTTATCTTCTAATGAATTTAGGCTTTCCGTGGTAGAAAATGGCTAAGTTCTATTTCCTATGAAACAGGTTCTTTTAAAGTCAAAGATGACAGTATAAATGATGCTGCAGTTTTGGATAATGAGGTAATGTCTTTGTTCTCATCTTTCATAAAATGCAGTTGTTGAATGTGAAGTGCTCCGTTAAATTATTTAGTTAAAAATGTTAATGAAAATTGTGTTTTTTTTTTAAATTTTCTTAGTAGTAGCTAGCCATTGGACACTTTTTGAACTTGGAATATTCAGTCACATACATATTTTTTATATTAAATGTCATGTTTCTGATATTTTTTCTCTCATAAAGAACATAATGAACATTGGGAATAAATGGTAAGCAAAAACCAAAAAAGGGGAGGGGGAATTGTTAATAGATTTTTGAAATAAATTTTTCATTTTTAGCTGAATGTAGGTAGAATGCATAAAATTGTTTAATGTTTTACTGCCCAGCATCTTTAAATGCTGGCATTTCATCCTAGGTTAAATTCTTAGGTTTTGTTTGGGTGCAAAGGGTTTTTATAGTCTTTCTTACATGCAATGTAGACATGAATCATGCTCCCATAGTTAAAGCACACATTTAAGAAGATGCTTTGCTATGATTTTCTGTGTTTACTGTTATGAATATGCTTATTTTCAGGCATTTAAACTTTTTCGTGTGTAAATTTTAATTTTCATGTGATGAAAATACGAAGTTTTTATGTTTTTTTATCGTTTGTAGATTTAAATGATGTGTTTAGTTTTGCAAATATGCCCAGTTTTCAAATACAGTAGCATCCTGATTGCCCATAATTCGCTTTTATCCTGTGTGGTGCCAAAGCATAAATCATACTAAGAATCATCATTGTAGCTTTCTATTCTGAAAAGTAACTAATTGAATTGTCTGAGTATATGTTCTCTCCCCTTTCATGCTAAGTCATGCTTTCAACCCATCACAGAATATTGATTTTCTATTGAGCAATTTTTATACTTAGCACCACGGTAATTGCAGTAACATGTACTTTTGAAGAAATAATTTTATGGCTTTAGACATAAAAGTGTAAAATTATATGCTGATTTCAGGGTACAAAATTTTGTGTGTCGCTTATGCGAAGTTTCTATTCAAATGCTTTATGTAAGGGGTCTGTTGTAATAATTGATTTTCCATAGTTCATATTTCGAACATTTCAGGTCTCCAGTCCAATCTATTATTCTTTCCATATATGTCAGGTAACTTAAATTTTTTACACTAAAATAAGACGATTGCATTTTATGAATGTAAATAATGTTTCTATAATAATACACATTGAAAAATATTGCTGTCTACAGTGGTACACCCATATCTGTGGGTAATTTGTACCAAGCCATACTGTGGATAACAGTGAACTCTGTGTAGAGGAGAATATCCATGTGATATTGATAAATTTGGAGCAACAAGACTGTAAATTTCTAGTCAATTTATGTTTCCTTGGCTACTAGAACTATGGAGTTGTTTGCAGTTTTTGTTAATATTTTAATAAACTTAATGTATTATGTGACATTTATTTCAAATTGTAATTTCCAAGAGACTTCTTTATTAATGTCAGAGTATTTTTTCACCTTGATTCCAGTCATTTGTTATTGTAAGCTGTATACAATTTTTTTTTATTTAATTTATTTAATTTTGTAATCAACAGGATTCTGTTAATATAAAAATTATTAAAATTTGTGCATGCGATGCATACTAATTTAAAATTTAGTTATTATTCATGAAATTTAATAATTTGTATATCAATTAAATAATTATTTACAAAATTTGATATGAATTATATAAATCTTGTAGTTATATTTTTATTTAAAATCCCTGAAAAGTAACAGTACTGAAAACTTTGCAAATTGTGATATTTGTTGTAAGATCAATGGAGGTCTCATACAGGACATAAATCACGTTATCTACTTGGACTTCTATAATTCGCTTAGTAACTGAGAACAACTTAAAAACAAAATAGCCATGTGTAGACAAAATGCTGTCGTGCAATAATCCTGCAAGCTTTAATGTGACTGTGAGCAACTTTGTGTCCTTATGTAAACAGGTCTTTAGGATTAAATTTCTGAAAAGAAATTTGCAACATGATCTTACTAGTAAAAACAGCTAAACTGTTAAAAGCACAGCTGAGAGAAATTTAATTTGAAAATATCTCAGGTGTTTTTACTACTGACAGCTATAGACAAAAATCAAGTAAAAGCACAGTCCTGAGAGGGACCTGTAACTTGAGAACATACTTCACGTTCTGAAGGTGATCACTTTCATTCCCCCTCCCATTTAGTTAAATACATCCTTTAATAAAGTGCATGCACATGCATACGGTCATGATCTGTGGGAGTATAATGCTTAGCTTGTTTCACATTTGTTCATCAGTTGTTTATCACTTAGCATTGAATGCCAAGTAATAATTTAAAGAACTTGTTTGCCTTGTTGTGAACTTCAGATATGGGATATGACTGTGAAGGGAAAGGGTATACTAGATACAGATGAAGGGAACGTTTCTAGATTTTCTTATCTTGTTCAGACATGCTTAGAAAAGCTCAATAATCGAGGTTATCAGCTTGAATTCGTTGTAATTAATTTTTATATTTACATGTTTATTTCTTAATAAATTAATTGCAGCACATTTAATACCTTTTACCATATACATGTTTCATTCATATTAACCTTATCATTATCTGATGTGTTTAATTAGAGTTTAATTATGAGTACACAATTGAATGGCCTTCCATGAGGATGTTAAGGAGCTCACCTTATCCTCCCCTTTGATTTAAATTCTTAGATGAATTTTGATTTCATCTGAAAATCTGCCTTGTTTAATATTAATTGCATTTTCTAGACCAACAGCCTCTGGCCTTATATGGTTTGTTTTCCTATGTTTTGAAGCAGGTAATTTGGGATTTTACATATAATACATTTTGTTGTTGCACTAAAATATGTTTTTTATAGTATCTGTAATTTTGATTGTTTTAAATTTGTTTTGCTTCTAATCTTAACTGCTCAGTTTCATTAATCAACTTTTCAGTTAATTTCTCATCACTTAGAAGGCTAGGGGCATAACTTCCTCATTTGTCACTGCTCCTCATGAACTGATTGGGTTATTGATTCTTTAAAGGATTTTGGTTTGTGGAATTCTCACTTAGAAAAGGGACTGACATAATGTTACTTTGTTTTCATTTTCAAATCTAAAATAAAGACTTGTGAATATTAAGCTTACGCATAATATGCAATTGCTTTTCATTAATGGCTGTAGGCAGTATATTTTCCAAACATTTTAGGGCAATCAACATGCCATACACTTTCATTTAAATGTATTTTAATGCTTCTTAAAATAGGATAATATAATTGATGTTTATTTATTGAGACAGTCCCAAAACCATGGAGCCATGTAATACAAAAAAAAAAAAAAAATGTTTTAAAAAAATGCAAAAACTCAATTCACTTCAAAATTCCAATCTCTTTCAGTAATTCTCAGATTTGTTCTGTTCATTCAAATTATTCTGCAAAAGCTCGTTAACTGCATATAAATACCTTGTATTGGTCAATCAATAGCTCGTTGTTTCTTTAGAATCTCTTCTCTTTCAAGGGTTATTTAATTTCGGAGCAACCAGACTTTACAAGGTGACAGATCTGGGTTATGAGGTATGTTAGTCACTTTTGTCACAAAAAACATTTTGCAGAAATTTTTTTGACTAGGCAGACATATTTTCATGATGAACCTGCCAATCAACAGTTGCCCAGATATACAGCTCCTTTTATCATATCATATATATCAAAACTAAGGGGTAACATCAGGGTGTTTACTCAGGGTAAACATCTTTAAAATATTGTAGTATAATTGTTTGGCCTGAAAGAGCATTCATGCTGAACAGTGCTTTCTTTCAAAACACACAGTTAACATGGTCTTAATCTTGCTATAACTTTTCTGTGTTTTCTTCAGATTGTGATAAACAGGAGACTTCTATTGGGAGACTTGAAGCCTTCATATCTGGATTGTTTATCTTTATTATGGCTATTTTGAGCAAATCTAACACATTGCCAGTCTGAAGGAAGTCATTAGCAACTGCAGTACGATGTTCCTTCTGCTAAGGAAACCATAGCCGCACAGCAAATTTTGTTAAAACATGTTTCTTTTTCATAAAAATGTTAGATGCTTCAGTTTGGGAATCCTTAGTTTATCATCTAGATCTGTGAGTCACCAGTCCTTGTTGACTGCAGTCTATGCACATTAAACTTGTTCCAGTGTTCTGCTCACTGCTGGTCTAAATATGAATCACAATGAAAAGATTTCCAGTAATTTCTAAATAATTTGTATTGCGGCTTAATTCATGCTGCATTCATTGTGTTGCTTCTTGAAAGCCTTTTGAATTACTTAAATAGGTTATGCAGATATATGTTCAGCTTTGGCCAAAATTTGATGCAGATTGTTTTCTGCACTGGCTCAGTTGTTACAAATGTGACAGTCACACATTACATATGCCAATTCACTGGCATCTAACTTCTAACTGATGCAGGCGGTAGAGCCGTCCACATTAATATATTTTCACTTAGCCCAACATTTCTGTAGCAGACAACTTAACATTATTTAACTCTCCGAGCATTACAGGTTCAGCCTTAAAATTTCAAAGGTTCCTCAAAAGGTCATGAATAAATAGTATTTTCTTGATTGCAATTAAACAATGACTCTTTCACTTTGTACCTTGATTCATTTTCTTCCAGTATACGTCCAACCCAAAATCTGATATGTTAAATGCTGGCAGAAATTTTCATATGTAATAAATATGAAAGCCACTGATATGTTTGGAATTTTCTGTCCATAATGCTGAGATGGTTAAATCATTGAAGACTTAAAAATGCAACATATAAATTAACGATATCAATTTTGGTTGGCCTAAATAAGAAGTTTGTGTAATTGGACTACTAAATATTTGGAATTCAGGTAATTGGAGTTTTAATGTATGCATGATTTGGATAGATATTGTTTTGTTCTTTTAAAGAAGCATCTCTGTCAGTCAGTTCTTTGTTACTTGTTTTTTCATTGCTCGTTATGTAATACTTGAAGAAACTAGAACTGAGTTTTAATTTTTAT